TTTCATTCTCTGCATATTCTATATTTCAAAAGTTTATAATATGTAAATGTGATTGCTACAACCCAAATAACTCAATATGCTAATTAATTAAATTCATAAGATAAAAATTAAATGGAGAACAGACAAATCGGTTGTGAGCTATGCCCTGGTGTGGGTGAAGGCACGAGCTGAGGGGTTGGTGGGACGGTAGCAGCAGATGCAGGCCCACAGCAGGGCCTGGACTCCAAGATCCCAGCAGGGAACGAGTGAAAGCCCTAAGGAAAGGGGCATCTGGGAGACAGAGGGGGCTGTGGAGGGCTGGGAGCACGGGTGTCTGTTCTCGCTCTGCTCAGGGAGCCACCGTCACCCCCTTCCCTCCCACGCCCTGTGATCTAACAGCCCTACGTGCATGCCCTTCCAGGCTGCTCCATTATGGCCACCTGGGAAGGCCCTTCCTCTCTGTCGGCCAGGCACTGTCTGTCCTAATGCGAGTTTACCCCCAGTGCCTTCTTCCTATGCCATCTCCTGCAGGGGTTTCCTCCTGCTGGACTGCGGGCTGGGAGCCCTCCCCAGGGCATGGCTCTGGCTGTTCCTGTCCTGGTCCTGCAGGCCACAGGGCCACAGAATGCGGCCTGGGGCTCCCACCTGGTGCGGTCCATGCTCTTCCATGCAGGACAGCTCCCGCATTGGTGGGATGGGCTGCTCGGCCCCTGGCCGTGGATGGCCCACTGGTAAGCACAAGCCTAGAGATGGCCGTAATGCTAGCCCCATCCACAGGCAGCAGGGGCTCCCCTTGCTGCTTTCATTGCAGTTTGGGGGGATGTTTCCCTTCTGGTCCATAGACATTTCCTCTGATTACTGTCAAATGCTCCTGAACAGGCATCCTGTGTGTGTGGGCATGCACGTATGTGTGTGTGCACACATACAATGGTGTTATTATTGCTTTCCCCTCATGTACATGAAGTGGAATAGGAGAGTAAGCTCAATCATGACCCAGAAAATGATCTGTCCTACCTCAGAGCTGCAGTCCCCTGTAAAGGTGGCAGAGCAGACGTGTGCAGGTGAGGCAAAGAGGCGGGCTCCACGGGACATCCCCAGAACTGGTCGTGCCAGCTGTGTGACCTCACACACAGTCCCTGAACTGCTCCAGGCCCGTGTCCTGGTCTGCCCAGCGGGGTGAACGAGGAACCACTCCCTCTGGGTCACCATGAGGATAAACAGCTATTGGGTCACTGGGAAAATCATGACACATTTTGCATAGAGACAGGAAAATACATAGGACCAGCAGTTAGCGTAATGGCTATGTTGCTGGACTCCCATGTAGTGGACCACGGTTCGTGTCCCAGACCCGGTGGCTTAAAACTCATGCCGGGCGCATGTGCGTGTGTGCCCAAGATCCCGAGAGGAGAATGGAGAAGGGATTGCGGCGTGGCCACACACCACCCCCCACCCCCCGTGCGTGATTTCTCCCTTTCTCTCTGTCTCTCTCTGTCTTTCTGGCGAGCACACACGCCCTATAGCGAAAACCTCTCCAAAAAAAAAGAAAAACAAACCCATCACAACTTTCCCGACAACCTAATAGATACATTAGGAAGTAACATGACACCAGGTCCACAGCAGACGGCCAGGAGAACCTGGTGGTTCTGCTCCCCTTAAAGGTGGGAATGAGATGAGAGTGTCTTCCACCACCAAAACAAACATCGTTCAGAAGTTCCCAAACTGCAGTAAGAGAAGGATGGAGGTAAAACTCATTAAGAGACCGGTTTGCCACAGGTCGCCTCCCTGGGACAAGGAGTGGGGGTGCTCTCGGGGTCACCGCCACAGGTGGAGACTGCAGGGCCGGGCGCAGGGAGAGGCAGCTCAACACAGGCACCACGAGGACCACAGTCCATCCCCAGGAGAGCGCAGGAGTGGGCCTGGCCCTCCTGGTTGTCCCACATCGACAGTTTTTGGAGGGCACTGCCACCAGGAGGAGCCATGCCTGAAGACCCATGGGGGAGGTGGCAACTTCATCCGAGGGTGTCTCAGAAAGAACAAACGAGAGCTATGAGCGCCACCATCCAGCAGCTGGGACAATGAGCACGTGCCCCAGAAGGGCTCCGGGTCGGCAATCACGGCCGAGTGGAGATGCTGAGGGTGTCTGTGGAACTGACTGAAAGCCACCCAGAGGACACGTGCCCAGGGAGGTCAAACAGAAACCCCGCCAGCCTTGGCACATAGGCCCTGTTGGTGTAACAAGTGGAGGAAACTGCTTGTACAGACTCACTAGGTCCGTATCAACAACAGGGAAACACTCCCGAGGAGACACTTGGCTACTAGGATGTTTACTGCAGCATCATCCTCAGTGACAAAAACTATAAACAAGTTAGATTTCCAAAGGGAAGGGACAGCTCAAGTCCAGCGTGGCAAAACCAGAGATGGGCTGGTATTCACGTATAAACTGTATTTTCAAAGACTGTCACGACCTTGGTACATTCTCACCATGTGAAGAGGTACAGTAGAAGGCCATTTTATAAAATCAAAAAATATATATCAGACAAAATACCCACAGGATGTGCTGGGGTTTCCGTCTTGCCTGGCAGATGGCTACGACTGGTCTGGTGACAGGGGCCTGCTCCAGCCAGACTGACTCCATCCTGTCAGTCACATTGTTTTTCTCCTTCCCTTGGGGCAACTCTCTCTGAGATTTCTCTGAGGAGCTCCAGGGAGATGGACGTCAGGGGCTGACAACCTGGAGCTTGAAACAGTGAGGAACGTTCCGCCCAGGGGACCAACGCTCCTGTTCTGAGGTTTCCTCTCCTGCTCCCCCTAAATCTGGCTAAACATTAACCTGACCTTTCCTGCACGCAGCCCCTGGCCTCCCCTTCCCCATAAGAGCATCTGTAGTTGGCTGGCCAGTAGAAGATGCCTTAAGGCTCCCCAGTGTGGCCACGTTGTAGTAAAGCCTTTCCTCTCTTGCAGACAGCTTTGTCTCTGTCTGGCCGAACAGTGAAGGGTCAGACCTGTGGTGGGCCTCTGGATTGGGGCACAGGGCCCCTCATCCAGCTGCAGCCTGGATGGCATAAACCCAAGACCGTGTTGTGGTCTGCCGTGTTGCCCTCAGGTCCGCACTGCAAGCCCACCGGGGGCTGCTCTGCCCGGCCTGGGTCAGGTGCTGGCCATGAGATGGCTCGGACCCGCTCTGCGCTCCTCACAGACAAGGTCGGAGCACAAAGCTATCGGGTCATCAGGGAAGTCATGCCCATGGACGAGTAGCCTAGAAGGCCACTGGAGAGGGCAGCATTCAAGAACTGTGAAGCAGAAGTACCGAGAGGCCTTGGCAGTGGGGTAGGGGAGGGATAAAGGAGATAAGGCAAGGGTGGCACCCAGGTCCCTGGCCCAGAGACGACAGGGATGAAGACAGGAATCTCTCTGCGAAGTCTTCAGGGCCACAGGGTGAACTTCCTCCAGGCTGGGTCCATGGGAGCCCAAGGCAAGAGCAAGGGCTGTGTGGGGACTGAGGGAGGGGGCAGCTCCCACCCACAGGCCTGGCTCCAGCCTCCAACTGGGCTAACGATGGGGGGAGGGGCCGCAGCTCCACTCCTCCACTGTCGGTTGAGCCCATGGTCATGGTCATGCCCTCGTAAACCTCTTAGGACCAGCCCCCTGGGACAGCCAGGGCACCATGCACACTCGGACCCTGCACAGCAGAACATGGACTGGGAAGCAGGCTAGCCAGACACTTTTAGTCCGCGTTCTAAACCTGTCGGTCACAGCAACACGTGGTGGCAACCTCAGGAACCTCAACCTGCTGCTGCCTGGAGGAAAGGGGCCACCCGGTCTGAGGCCAGCAATACTATGGGTGTCTCCACGGCTCTCCACCTGCACCCAGTCCACCCAAGCAGCAATGCCTTTCCAAGCCCTGCACCTGCGAACCTCAGGATCCGTAGTTCTACGTGAACAGCCAAGGGAGTCTAAAGGGTGAGAACTCTGCTAGACGTACATAGAAATTACAAACCCAAGTCAGCTAAAATAGGCAGTCCTGGGTGAAGTAAGTGCACCAACCGAGTGGAGACTGGGGAAGGCAGCCCCGTGAAGGAAGATTCCATGTGTGGTGAAGGAACAAGCACACACGAACACAGGGAATGCACGATCTCAGAGTACTGGTTTAAATCTTTGCAAGTCCACTTGCAGCCTCATCTCACTATATGCCAAATTGGTCCCAGGAAAACTGTTTATTATTCTAGAGGGGAAGCAAAAGACCCGAAGTCTAAGGAATGGAGAGACCGCAAAGGCACCGACAGGAATGTCTATGGGACTGCGTGGCCATCCCTTCTGAGCTGTGGCTCTCCAAGTGAGATGAGACCCTCAAGGTCCGTGAGGAAAAGCCGTTTACAGAATACAATTGTGCACATTTTGAACTCAATGTTGGAGCACACTGCAGAACTTTCCAGAAGCTATATGACATGTGATCTTGAAAGATGAAGTTCAAAGGTGGATATAAGACTCTGGCTGTCTGCCCATCAAAGAAAGTCACAAAACTAAAAGACGGTGCCACTCTCCTCAGTAGATTGTTTGGGGAAATGTAGCTTTCATAAAATTACAACCTATTTATGTACGATTTGTTTTCGAGATAAGATTTTTAAGCTTTGTTTATAGTAAATATTGGCACACAAAACCTACATTGGCAAAAGCTCTTTGGGTCTGCAATGATTTTTAAAGTACAGAGGGACCCTGAGACCCAAGGGTTATCAGCAGAGCCCTTGGAATGCAAGCCCTGGGCAGGGACACGCAGCCACTCACAGGTCCCAACACCCGGCACATCCATTCCTGCAACTAATTTGAGAGACATTTACTGAGCATCTCCTAGGTGCCAGGCATTGTTATTCATGCTAACGGGACAGCATAACCAGACAAGGTAACCCCGCCTGCTCCGTGCTCTGGTCCAGTGAGCACAGTGCTAAGTGAGGGAGTGGAGGGACTGTGCACTGCACACCCACACACACATCAAACTCTGGAAATGTGCAGCGAAATGGCACACACTGGGTTAATATCTTTAATATGTAACGAGCTGACACAAACTTATCAGACTCCAGTAGATAGAGGGCAGGGCCGTGGCAATCGACAAAAGAAATACAAGGGCTGAACATGAAAAGATGTTTGTGAAACTGGGTGAGATATCTGAGAAATGCAGACTGAAACAGCGCTGCCTTCCACTTCACCTCAGCAAGTGCTCGGCCAGGTAACAGCCCATCCAGGTAAGGCCGCCGCGGTGCTCCTCGCTGACGGCATGCGGTTCTGGAAACCACTGGCTGTAGGTATAAAAGCCTCCACAGTTTCATAGTCTTTAATTCAATAACTCACCTCTGGGACTCTATCCTAAGGAAGTAACTGGGCAATGGGGAAAAGCCTCCTGCACAGACTCACACCGATCTCCACGGATGAAGAATTAGTAGCTGCCGTAGCGGCCACGCATAGCCC